ATTCAGAATGTGTGAGAGGGAGAGAGTGAGTGTGCACGAGTGGGATTATGACTGATTCGTGATTGAGCACAATGCACCAGTTGGGACGAAAAGTGAACTCCGTCCAACTGATAATGAAAGAGGGAGAGATATGAACCTGAAATTGCAATAGACAGGACAAGGGAGGTCATTATGTAGGCCTGCGGGCAGTCTTGTGGGGTGCGAAAAGGATGGCGATGCCGAAGCCAACAGATTATGGACAAGTGGTGTGAGTAAAATACGGTGATGAAGAAGAGGAGTTGTGAAGCTTGAAGCACGAGTGAGAATTAAGAATAAACTTGACGATAGACAGAACAAGGACGTGAAATGAATAATAAATTAGTGAGTAGTCAAGGCATAGGAGGGGACGCAAATATATGGGAAAAGGGGAAAATCGTAAAGCATAATAACCAAAAAGAAAAAGGGGGGAAAGCAAGGCTGAATGAAATTCAAGGGAAAACATCAGCTCAGCTAACATCATTGGGGGAAAAATCAACTACCAGTCCTCTATCACGTTAAATCAAATAGGGTGACTCCATATCATAAATCTAAAGAAGACAAAAAATGAAAAATGTAAGAAAAATTCAGAAGACTATTATTTCGTATGAAGTGTATGATGAAGAGATTCATAGGTCGATCTCCCCAGAAGCTGACAGCTGATTCCCGTAGCACTGCGTGCTCTGACGATTTTCGTCATAAGACGAATGAAAGCAAGTCCATCTTCGTCTGAAATGTTGGAGGACGCTCGTGGACTGCGTCGACCTGAACATCGTATTAAAGCCAAACGACTGCAGAACAACGCAAATCAGCAGCCGTCTTCTGGTAAGATTGACTTACGAATATCTTGATCATACATTTTCATGCAAAAAAAGTCATATAAGATGTATTCACCTTATTTCGTTTAAGGTGAAAGACTGGTAGAAGAAGAATTTTCCCACAATTATATGAGTAGAGCTGACGTTTCCATTGAAATTCACATGACCTTGGTTTCCCAAAAGTTGTTCTCATTCCGGCTAGGGTGGACTGCAGTTTCGACTTCGCATCGGTCTTAGCAACACCCCCAGCGGGAATCGAACCGTGATCACATTACCACGAGTGCCCTTGGGTCACAGGGCAGATGTGAATTTCAAGGTAGGCCAATATCACACTTTTTAGTGGGATTGTCGATGAAGCAAACATACATTTGTTCTAACAAGCAATTACGTTACTTATTTTTCGTATTCAAGTAGAGTTTCGAGACTATCAGTAAATCAGTGTAATGAGATGTATTCACCCAATTTCGTTTAAGATGATGAAGGACTGGTAGTAGAATTTTCCCACAATCATATGAGAAGAGCTGACGTTTCCTTCATCACCTTAAACGATAAAGAGTGAATACAGCTCATATTATAATTTACTGTTAGTCTTAAAACTCTACTAAAACACGAAACAAAAGTCTTAACATCAATTTTTTCTTAGGAGTCTATTCGAAATCCGCATTTTCTTCGTATACTAAGAATAGATGCGAAGAAAAGATGGGTTTTGAGGAATCTTTTGTTTCAGAATTGTTCAGCTTACTTCATTTCGAGTGAAAGTATTTGGTGAAGAAATTCGAAGGTGGATTCCTCTCGACCAGCTGTCGATTGGCTTTAGTGGAGCATTCATGTTCGACGCTGTTTCCGAGGTGATCTCCTTCGAATCTGGTGAAAATGTGCTAAGCTTTCGTCCATCAGACGATAACAGACGTCACTTTTTCTGTCCTAATTACTTTCGAGCCATCCCTGCTGGTTTTGTGCATAAGCGAACACAGCCAAATCACTTTATACCTGATTAAATAGGCCAGATATAGAGTATAGATACCGCTTTTTATGGATTTGCCGGTAAATTTTCTTGACTCGTTAGCTTCAATTTGGTTGCGACGATGATATCCTTGATGCTCTGAGGATATTCGTCATGTGACGGACGAAAGCTTAGAACCTTTTCACCGGAATCGAAGGAGATTGCCTCGGAAACAGCGTCAGCATGAATCTTCCAGTAGAGCCAATCAACAGTTAGTCAAGAGGAATCAATCTTCGAATCTATTCACCAAACATTTTCTCTTGAAACGGAAGTAAGCTTAACAGCTAAGAATAGTGTTGGGCTAGAATTATTTAGAGAAAAATAGAACAAATTCCGAACAAATGTGACGAAGAACGACCACTTTCACGGGGACTGACGAAGTGTCTCGTGAACTGCAGCAACATGAACGTCATGGAGATACGAATCGGAGGTGAGATCGAGTCAAGCTAATCGTTTCACCTCATACCCACACCAATACGCACACACATACACACACTTTCACATAAAAGTAAAGTCACCAAAGTAGCCTAACGTAGGAGAGCGATTGAAACCTGATTACGACTCTCGATGTCTACTAACATAACCGGCATGTAAATGAGCCAAATTAATGCAAATTAAAGATAGTCATCAAATGTTGGCACTCGGGGCCTGAAACCGAGGTCAACGAAAGGCTCCTTTACGAAAAATAGGTGATATTTTTTATCCCAAAAACGGGCAGTTAAACACGAACAAGAAACCAAAATACCGTCGGAAGAAGGAAGACAAACCTGGCTACCACGTCAGTCATCAATCGTCAGATCGTCATCCCACGCGCCCTGTCCAGAGTGTTCGGGCGACGGATGGTCCGGCCTCATCAACCATCAACCAGAGCTCGAACCAGGCGACAGGTTAAGATACGGATCTGGAACAGGAACTGATGCCTTTCGGACGACTGTAAACTTTTATGGGAGCAAAAGTTTTCTGCAGACTTATCGATCGTGGTCAAATTTAAACGAGGACCTATGTCTGCGTATTGGACCAAAACTTCTAACCAGAAATATTTCGATGATGTTTATGGAGCTAGTACTTACTACTGAGTTGGTGATAAGTACTATCTCGGATAAGGGTTGAACTAATAAGCCCGAGGAGCGAGTGTACAAGTCAGAAATGTGGTCAATTCCCATCCAGACTTGAATTTTAATGACCCTCCAGAGACCAGATAATTGTGGCGAATTTGGTTTAGTGTAAAGGTGCGTTTTGATGAAGAGATCTATGGGTCGATTGTACCAGTTCAACCTACGAATCGCTTCATCATCACACAAACTGTTTTAATCATAAATATTACGTTCTAAACAGGCCGGGGCCAAATTTAATTTAGAGCTTGTGAATAAAGAATTATTTGCCAGTTTAAAGGACCGAAGGAGACCAGGTCATATTGAAAGTAGGTGAATCGCCAAGACCTCTCGAAAAGTGTAGAACACAGTCGGGCTCGAGTCCGCTATCCAGCTTTGCCAGGAAAACGGTATCAAATAAATGATCCTGAACTTTGTTTTAAGTGTGTATGCATGTGAGTATGTGTGTGTATTTGTGTGCGTGACGCTCTGAAATCACATATAAATATATACCTTGTGTGAATACATTCGTAGGGCAGGCAATTGTGCCAGCATAACAAAATATTGCTTTGACTTGATGATTGGCATTTTCTTAAATTCGTTCCTTTGGGTAAGAACATCAACAAGTGCAATGGTGGTCCCGAGGAGACGCATGGAATGCTGGGTATTACGGGTCGACCGAAGGTCTATACTTGTCGTGGTAGCAACGGAACCCAGACCGTGTGAAAGTTGAGTTTGTGTCTAACTTGTAAAAGCGTCGAATTTTAACTAGTTTACCTCACCATATTTTGAGCGATGGACCGTCTGCTGCTCGCTTTGGAACCTCCTGGAACGGTGTGCCAAGGGACATCCGGAGAGGCTAAACAGCAGATATAAGTTTAAAAAAAATATCTTTAGACGTTTAACTTTTGGATCAAGAGGCAAGTCTGAGTGAACTTGAGTTTCCTCACAATCTCGTAGAGAATGCAAGGTATGAAGTCTGATCAGAAAAATGAAATATTACGTCAAATGAACAAGTCCCCTGTTCGACGATTGGCGAGTGAGGCATGTAAACTTTATTGTTGTGCTAACTTTTGGTTTGTGTGAAAGTGTGCAATGAAGAGCGTTTTAAATGGGCTTCGCGCGAAGATGCTGGCAGATTTATCTTGATCTGCCGGTGTTTGATGATTCTGGGCTTCGAGCAACACTGCTTCGGTTTCAGTAAAGTCAGTTTGAGCTTTCGTCGGTCTACGGAGGACATCAGTAAGGCAGCAACCACACGCCGAAAGATAGTTAAAGAGACCTCTTCCTTCAAGACTCCAACTTAAAACCGTCTTGTATCCAACATATGTCTGGCCTCGTTCTCGTACGGAAAAAGTCTTGGGGTGAAAGGATGAAATCGTAGACTTTGAAAAGTGTTGTTGGAGAGATTTGCAGGTCAAATCTCACCAGAAAACGACGGCCGATCCCAGTTGTACTGCAGCCGTTTGGCTTTAATAAGGCGTTCTGGTTGTCGCCGTCCGCGAGACATCCCACCTAGTTTTGCATGAAAACGCCCTGATGAGCGCCAGTAGAGCTGATGTTGTTCTCAAGACAATCTTTTGGGATTTTGGCGAAAACATGCTAATATGTGCGAATAAAAGTTGGGTTTCGAGGAATCTCTTGTTTCATAATTGTTGAGATTACTTCCATTTCGAGTGAAAAGATTCAAAGATTTATTCCACCAGAAGACGACGGCGGATTCCTCTTGACCAACTGTCGATTGGCTTCACAGGAAGATTCATGCTGATGCTGTTTCCGAGGTAATCTCCTTCGATTCCAGTGAAAAGTTGTTAAGCTTTCGTCCGTCATATGACGGACGTCATCGGAGCGAGGTAACATCGTCACAACCAAATCCCTAAATTGTGGTATGTATACTCTACATCTGACCTCTTTGATCAAGTATAAAGTGATTTGGTTAGTTAAGGTCATTTGTCAACTTCGATGCATGTGAGTGTGTCTGTTTGTGTTCGCTTATTCACGAAACCCGCAGTGATGGCTCAAAGTAATTAGTACAGCAAAAAAGTAACGTCTGTTTTGGTCATCAAGGTTTGATGACCCCTATCTCCCCTCTTCTATATGCACGTTGTATGAGATGTATTCAACCTATTTCGTCTCATATTACTGATTTAATAGTAGTCTCAAAACTCTACTCAAATACGAAAAATAAGTAACGTAGTCGATTGTTGTAGCTTCATCAACACTCCCACCAAATAATATGCTATGGCAAAAGGCCTGGCCTTCCTTGAAATTCACATCTGCTCTATGACCCAAGGGCAATCGTGACAATCTTGTCGAATGGTTAGCGTGTCAAGCTCCCATTCTGCATTGTCGCGGTTCGAATCCCGCAGG